AGAGACCGCTCCGGAGATAGGGCCTGGGATTGAACCGACTGGTCACTGGGGCCGACACTCACCAACACGAGGGGGGGAGGAGAGAAAGGAAACGTTAGTTTCTGGCCTGCCCACCGCCCATCCCGCCCTCAGGTCCTGGCGCACCTCGGCGGGGATGCGCTCGAGCACGTCGTCCCCGACGGTGAAATGCCCCGGCTCGCAGTGCACCAGGCTGAGACCCGTGCCCGGCGACGCGCCTGATCAGCGGCTTCCGAACCTTCTCCTTGTCGCCTAGGATGATCTCGTCGCTGCCCACATCGATCACCGGGCGCGTCGCCTCCAGCAGCCGCGCCAGCAGCAGAGGCGGGCAGCTCCCTGGCAGGATGAGGAACTCCGCGACTCCGCACCTGCGAATGCTGATCGGGGCCCGCGCGCGCCCGATCGGAGACACCCTGCCGCCGATGCCGCCGGCAGTCACACCTGCAACGGGCCCTTCCTTGACGAGACTCCTGAATCCACGACGCTCGAAGGCCTCCCGCATCACTTCCAGGTCCTCCTGCCCAACGAGGGCCTGTCCTGCAGCCGTGTCCACCTGCGCGCGGCCCCCAGGGTGACGCGGCGAGAGCTCCGGGCCTTCCACGCGCAACGCCCTGAACAGCGCGTTCCACTCCGAGACCGCAATGTCGCTGAAGTCGTCGGACTCCGGCAGAACGTCCAGGAAGAAGCTCTTGCCGCCGCCGCCCTGTGGGCCCCTCTCGCCGGCGACGCGGTCGGCCTTGGAGCTGAAAGGTTTCTTGCAAGGCTCTGCCGAGCGGCCGCGCTGTCCCCAGATCGCGCACCGCGTGCGCTTCTTGACGTCAGTCATCATCAGCCTCTTGAAGCCGGGCTTGGCCGCCCTCTTCTTGCAAAAGAAGTCGCGGTCGACCTTTCGCGCCGCCTGCAGGCGGCGCGCCTCAGCCCGCGTCTGGCGCTTCGCCTCCCCGAGGCGGTCCTCGACGACGGCCGCGGAGATCTCCGGCACCTCGGTCTCGCGAGGGCCCTGCTCCTCGAGCGTCGCGAGCAGGCTGTCGCGTCGCCCTCTGACAACTCCACCGAGGTAGATCTCTCGGACCCTGTCCTCAGCTAGTCCGCTCGCCCCCGCTGACGCTGAGTGATCGCCCATCTCCGCTGCGAACAACTTCGAAACCATGTGCTGGCTCGTCGGCAAGATCGGGGCCCCCTTCGCGTCGAGCTCCAGGATCGCCTGCCGCATCGAGCTGACGTCAGAAGGTCCGCCTGCCAGAGTCCGCGAATGATCCGATTCTGCGCGGAGAGGCTGGCCCCCTCTTTCAAGAACCGGGCCTTCACCGCGTCGGGGAGGAGCAGCTCGCGCATCTCGGCCTCGGCCACCTCCGCATCGCGGCGGAGGACGTAGTCGGTCAGGCTTTCTCCTTTCTTCAGCACGTAGTTGAACAGCGCCGCGCTCTGAGCCAGTCTCTCTCGATTCCCCGGCCTTTCCCCGTTCAAGACCGCCAAATGAGATTACAGCTTTTCCACTCCGTCTTCTGCTTCAAGCTCGCGTCGAATCATCTTGAACTTAGTATATCCACGGGGGGGCCTCCCAGAATTCTACCTGCCCGCGAGATCGGCTTGAATCCTGTCCGTCTCGTCCCCGCTCTCACATTGTGACGGTAGGTCTCCAGATGGTCAAATCCGAGCCAAGGCGGTGACGCTCCGAAATCACGATTCGGGGCCTGGTCACCCGGACTGCATTCACCCCGAGACCACGGAGCCGTCCAGTCGCACTCCCATCTGGCACTCGACCACGATCCCCAGTCCCACGAGCCTCGCCACCACTGCCGCTAGGGGTCAGCCTGGCTCTCTTCAGCGCCGTCGGTCTGTCCACGGTGACTGTCGCCTCGATCTGGGGTCGCGCCGACCTGGCTCCATGCATCCTCCTGCGGCGGGGCTGGGTCCTGTGCTCCTGGCGGTAGATCGCCCTCTCGCTGACCACCCCGCTCGTCGCCCTGATCGTCGAGCGCATCATCCAAACTCTCCGACATACGGTCCGCCTACCACTGTCACAGACTCTCAAGGACACATGGACTAGAGGGTCGTCAGGGATAGAGGGTGACGGTCTCTTCAAGGGCGCACGATGGACAGTCAAAATATCAGGCACACACACACACACCTAAGCCAATAGGCTACGGAGAGAGAGGGAGCCACAGGGGGGAGGGAGGAACACGACCCGAGGCCCACTAGGGCCTCAGAGAAACATACTACCAGCACCAACTTCAGCACTCTGGATGGTGGCGCGCATGGCCACGAACGCCTCCCACTGTCCTGCAGGCATGGTGTGCTCGCGTGCCCAGGCCGCTAGCTCGTCCGCCGACGTGGTGGCGAAGTCAGGCGGCTCCACCACCATGGGCGCTGGCTCAGCATCACCAGCAGCACGAGCATCTCCAGCGGCGCCAGCGGCGCCAACGGGGCGGGAGGGGTCGGCGGCCGCGCGCCGCGGCGGCAGCAGCGAGGGGTGCAGCCCGTTGCTGGCGCAGGCGCTCGGCCTCGGCCTCGCGCGCCGCCGCTGCCTTGGCCGCCGTCCAAACCTCAGGGTCGAAGGACTGCACGGCCTGGTCGGCGTCGCGCTGGGCCTGCTGGGCGCCGCACTACGCCTCCTCAGCAGCTCGCAGGGCCTCACGAGGCTCCTCGAGCTGCCCACGGATCTTCTGGGTCTTGGTACGCTTCTGCTCGACTTCCTGGCATGCCATCCGAACCTGTCGGGCAGCGTCCTCCACCACTTTGGCCAGGCGGGTCCGCTCGATGTGCGCCGCAGCGTCGAACTGCGAAGGGGTGAGGACCACTGCAGTGGGCGCAGGCGGCGCCACCAGGTCGCCGAGGGATCCTTGAAGCTCAGGGCGAGCCGCCAACGGAGTGGCCGCGGCGGCACGTAGCTGCTCAACATGGGGATCAGACACGGGTGCAGCAGGGGCGGCAGCAGGGGCATCACGACCACCTCCACCAGCAGCGCCTCGTTCGACGTAGGCTCCACCGCACTTCGAGCACACCTCATTCCCACGATTGGCGTACTCCCAGCGGCTGCAGAACGCGCACACGTTGTACTGCCCCTGCTTGCGCCTGCGATGGCGCCATCCAACATGATCATCCCGATGCCGCACACGACGAGGGCGGTCTTCATCATCATCATCCAGTTCATGTTTGCGCCACGGTGGGGTCCTCGCCGCAGAAGACCAAGCCCAGGGCATCCGCCTTGGCGGACAAGGGAACTGGAAACTCCACAATTGACCCTTGCCCGCCAAGGCGACGGGAGGAGAATCGAGACACTCAGGTGCCTCGATCCAGACCTGGGCGAACAGGCCAAGAAACGGAATCAAGCCGCGGACTAGCGGTATCCACGTGTTCCCCTGCGGAACAAGCATCTTGAGCCAAATGACTACGGGCGGAGGAGGGGGGAGGGGGAGGGGGAGCTGTTCCATGTAGATTGGGCTTCCGAGAAGATGCACATACTGTATGCGACAGACTCCAAAGCATTGCAGGAAGTATTGTGGTCACGCAAAATTGCAGAAAGAGGGGTACGAACCACTACTCACACGGGTACTGTGCCGGATCGCTGATCACATGGGCCGAGGGTGGCTTCCTCCATACATCAACCAGGACCCGGTTCAATGGTGGAGGCGGAGCTACAATAAAGTAGCGGACGGCTTGGCGATCATAACAATGGATACCCGACGAACGTGGACGAAAAGATACGCGCACCATGTCCATGCAGGAAGCCAACGTGGTGATCCAGACGGACGGGGGCCTACGTGACGGTGATTGTGCCGCGGCTGCCTGGGTTATCGGTCTGTGGGGAAAGCCTGCTGGTGGCCACCATTATCATTACGAGCCTGTCGTTGTGCACGGCACATTCATCCAGTTACCTTGCACGGCTTTCGGAGCAGAGGCCATCGCATTGGACGAAGCGTCACGAGAAGTTGCCGCTCTACTTCTACAACTGAGGCAAACGGCTGGCTTTCAGGTGTCTTGAGACCGTCATGAACAGAACAGAACATAACAGCTGGAGGAGGAGGAGGAGGAGGAGGAGGAGGAGGGAGGAGGAGCAGGAGGAGGAGGACGGGTCGCCTAAGCCATTCGGAGAAACGTTCCACTCGTCCCCGCATCATGGACGCATCATTGTCATCGGTGACGTCCGTACAGCCGTCGCCATCACTATCACCTCGGCTGCACGCAAAGGTGGCCTCTGGGTTACGAGCGACCTGTGCTGCGCGGCTTCTTTGGGGCCGCGGGGGGGCAGACACGACCGCGCAGGACACCACTGCCGCCTCCCGCTCGGCGATCGGGGGACCACCCCATTGGGCCCGCGAACATCACTCTTACATGTAGTCGATCATCATTTAAACAGGGACCAACCGTCGCGGCATTCCTATAGGCCTACCACGACATGTTCTTGGAACCCAAGAATGTTCTCAGAACAGAAACGATGCTCTTAGAACATAAGCCCGATGTGTTGAAATAAGACAGTATAAGCTAGAAAGGTTCTAAGAACATTTCGTGGAAACCACGAAATGTTCTTAGAACATTGCTTGGTAGGCCTATGGGCACGCCTGAACGCTTCGTCACTGCTTGACTTACGTGTAGCCGATCATCACCACCTCCACTATGCAGCCCCCCGGCGCTCGAATGCCTTTACTCGTCCCTCTTGTCTTCCCTCCCAGCTAACGGCCAGCCAATCGCCACTACGTCACGCGGACATCCGAATGGACAGCTATACAGTCAACCAGGATAGTAAAGATGCGCGGTAAGGATGCAAGGGCCTTGGAACGCCATGTTGACGTTTTCCGTGCGAAGCGCAGCAGAATGTCGAAGGATGCCGAATACCGAAGGGGCAAGGATGCAAGAGTAGCCTTGGAAAGTTGCCCCATCCTTACTATGATGGTTGACTGCAGGACATGGACGACGTGAGCAGTGCGCACGTAAGAGAAGCGGTGGCTCCCTCGGCACACTGACGGGCCAGGCCGGCATGCCTTGAACTTGTTCTTGTTGACGTGGTTGTGATGGTCGGCCACCGTCAGGACCTCGCTCTCGTCAATGCAGTCGATGCCGAGCTCCTGCGCTCAGGATCTGTCACTGTTCAAGTAATGACTCCTGATTGACGGCGGACCAGACGCTCCGAAAACCTGTTCACGCAACTGCAGTTGAAACATGGTCACAAAAACGTGGGTCAAGAACACACGCCCCTTCACCGAAGCCCCAAGGGCCCCATGGAGGCACCGCAAGCAAAAAGCATTCCAAGATGGAAGCCCAAATGCAAAAATCCGAAGGGTACCCCTCCAAAGCTATGGATGTTCCGCGCCCTCGCGCCAGCTGTAGCACAGAACCAGAGGAGACAACGCAAGGAGGGATTTTGACCCGAGACCTTCCAAGGTTGCCAACTCCTCCCACGAAAGCCGAGCATCCCCCCTCCTCGTCGCCTGGCCACTCTGCCCTGCCCTGAGACTCGGGCGTTGCAAGCGTTCACGCCGCGCGTGATCGCAGGGTTCCGGATCCACGGACAATCACAAACCGAGGCGGCTCGAAAACTGCCGCAGAAGGGTGGGGCCCAGGTGTCACTGCACTGACCTTGCAGACGTGCTGCATTGGATTTGTGCGTGGATATGCCCATGCAAAACCCGAAACGGCGAGTGAAAAACGAAGTGAATTTCGCGTGGGTTGTTTCTAGTCTTTATTCCTCGAAATCCGGAACGAAATACTCCAGAACACTCCGGGCCCATCCTATCGTTTTCCGAACGAAATCCGCTCTGCGATGTTGACGCCATGACAGGGGGGGCGTCCAGGAGGGGTGTCCAAGAGGGGCAGCGGAGCCTAGAATCCAAATGATAAGCCGGACCGGAGATCGACATGAATCGAATCCGCGGGAAATCGGCAGAAGAGTCGAGAAAACTCAAATCGGCGGAAATCGACAGGCTAGTAGGCATCCACTGAGAAATCGGAACGTTGGAGTCCCAAATCGAGTCAAATCGGAATCGGAAGCCATCCTCCTCCTCCTCCTCCTCCTCCTCCTCCTCCTCCTCCTCCTCCTCCTCCTCCTCCTCCTCCTCCTCCTCCTCCTCCTCCTCCTCCTCCTCCTCCTCCTCCTCTCCTCCTCTCCTCCTCCTCCTCCTCCTCCTCCTCCTATCCTTATTCCTTATTAGAATATACTCCTACTCCCCCCTCAGGCCGGCAGATAGGGGCCGCATCCGGGTGGTCCCATCCTAACCTGTAAAAAACAATACAAAATCAACATTTTCTTATTTTTTCCTCTCGACATGGACGTCCTGTCGTCCACGGCGATAATCCATTGCAAAAAATACCACAAAGAGCACACGCGCGCGTTCATGTCAGAATCCTACCGAACACCGTGTGTTTGCAAGCATTTCAACATAAAAACATCAAAAACCCAATGCTTTTTCACAAAAATTGTACAAATTTCCCGCCCGGGCTCTCTTGCTGAAATCATAGGAAAACCATAGGAATCTTAAGAATTCTGTCAAATCCAGCGATTTCACGTCATCGCGCGGTGCACTCGCGATGCTCTGTCATGCACCCAGGCCGCGAATCCTGTGCAAAAAATACCACAAAGAGCACACTCGCGCGTTCATGTCAGAATCCTACCGAACACCGTGTGTTTGCAAGCATTTCAACATAAAAACATCAAAAACCCAATGCTTTTTCACAAAAATGCTTTGGGGTGTCCTGTCAGACCGTCGGGCTTCCTCCGGCCACCTCTGGCTTCCTGCGGTGTACCGGGCCATTCTCGACTCGTCTGGCAATGCGTGCGCGGCATTCAACACGCGCTCGCCAGTTCCCGTCGGCAACCGCCATCGCGGCCGCATCAGCTGTACCAAACCGGCTGGCCGGTGTGACTTCGGCCCCCAGTTGTGCCAGCTTTGCTTCTTATGTTGTGGGAGGGCGGGTGGGACTGAGCATGCCATGCTTGACTCGCTCGAGCTGGCTAGCTTGACTCCTACTCCTACTCCTACTCCTACTCCTACTCCTGCTGCTCTTCCCGTCTTATTATTATTACTATTATTATCACTATTATTAGTAGTAGCATTAGTATTAGTAATAATATTGTTATTATTATTACTACCATTATTATTCGTATTACTACTATTATTATTACTATTATGTTTAGTACTATTATTATTAGTACTATTATTATTATTATTATTAGTAGTACTACTACTACTAGTATTATCATTATTAGTATTATTATTATTTATATCATTATTATTATTATTATTATTATTATTATTATTATTATTTGTCCCCCTCCTCCTCCTACTCTCTTCCTCCTCCTCCGTCTCCTTCTCATCCTCTATTAACCTATCCCTGCTCCTCCTCCTCCTCCTCCTCCTCCTCCTCCTCCCTCCTCCTCCTCATCCACCTCACCCACGCCCCCGCCACTCCCTCCCCCCCCCCGCCCCCGCCCACCATGTCGCATTAGCGTGATGAGGCGGGTTGGGCTTGGCGGCGCCTCAACTGCTTAAGCCTTTTGCATGCGCTTGAAATCGCCGAGCCTCGTCGCGAAACAACAATACAATCGCTTTCACTCGCGCGAGGAACTCGGGGAACCACCTCGCGCCACTGCAGCCTCGTCTGATCAGAAAGTCAATATTGCGCCTCCACCATGGGATCATCAAGGCCCCCAGGGAGAGCAAGCGCTGGCGGTGAACAAGCTGCCTAAGGCCCAATGCTGAGAAGAAATATGGCAACGCGTCGCCCAGGTTCGCTATCATGCACTCCGTGCCCATGTCGGACACGATGCCCCGTACTCGGCTCAAGAATTTTCTCATGCTGCCTGGGCCTCCACCGAACACAAGGTAGATCTGCTACAACAGGGCAATGCACTTGCTGAACGATGAGAGCTGCGTTCTCATCAAGAGCAAAGGCGGAAACATACGAGTCAACAATTAAATTCCGCGTTGCACAACCTTTTTAGGAAGAGGCCCGCATCTCCCAGCCGCGGCCTTGCTGACTGGAGTCGATGTATACATAGATGTCGGCGCAGGTCAATTCAGCATGCTGGAGCATGAGACTGGTGATGCGCATTCACGTCCAATCCAGTCGCACCCTGGCTCGTCGTAGGGTGGTATAGCCGATATGCACAAATTGTCTGCGCAGGTCCTGCGGGTCCTGATTGGATGCCTTAGCTAACAAGGAGCTCCACTTGTGGGCAGGCTTGCAGCTGCGACGCAAACATCTCAAAGTCGAGGTCGCAGCCAAACATTATATGATCATGCTGGAGGGCATGCCAGGGCGCCTGAGGGCACGACCGCGGGCTGCTTCCTGGTGCCGTCGGGCATGCAACTGCACTGGAGTGTCTTGCCCGCGTTGCTGCAAGCGCCTCCAACCAAGTCCAGAAACCAATGTTCGCCTCATCCGCTGCATAATAAACACACAGTGGAACACGCTCTGACTCAACTCCGAGATGCTTAACGCCAGAGCTGGAAACAATGCGAATGATGGTTGAACGTGACGCCCACCGTGCAAGCGAGACGCTCTGAGCCACAGGTCGCCCCACGCTCCATCTTCGCAGGCACCACCTCCAAAGAAGAGCTTACACTGCACCCCTCGCAACGAGTCAATCATGCTTCTGGACGCCGAAGCGCCGCACGGGTGAGGGTGAACAACGCATGTGCTCGACACAGCTACGTAACCCAACACGCCTGCATAATCCCTTGCGCGTGAAGCAAGGGCCCCTTGAATGACCAACTTATCGAGACCGCCGAAGTTGTCGATCGAGGCAAGGTCGGACAGTTCCCACCTTGCGACCAAGACGCAGAAAGCATATATTCGGCCGTCGTCGAAGAATGGGGTCGGTACACTACGGTATACACGAGCCCATGGGCCACCTCTGCTGCCGACGACTGGAAAAAACGACAAGGTGGCCCGTGCGCGGTGGAGGCCGTCTCGCTATGCGACGGGCGGCGCGCACTGCTGGTGCAACAACGCCGATGTCGCCAGTGTCGCCAGCAACATGTTCGTCCATACTCTGGTGTGCCAGCGCATTTTGCGACCACGCACACTGAAACAATGTGGGCCGATGCCAAGATACATTTGAGCCAAAATGGTTACGCATAGTATGATGTGATGATGGCGGTGGTAATGATGAGACTATGTGGGGGATGGGGGGGTACGTCACAATGCACGGTGTGATGATGGCGAAGGTAGTCTTAGCACGATGAGCACTATGTGATGATGGCGATGGTAATATGTGCACGGTGGGCACTATGACCACTATGTGTGGGGGCTAAAGCACATCGCACTATGTGAGGGACTATGGCACAGAGCACCTTGGTGAATATGAGGACTACCAGCACTATGTGATGATGGCAATGGTCATGATGATCACGATGAGAACAGTATGTCGCTGCGCATATACCCCCTGCCCACCGAAGTCCATATACACCACCGCCCCGAGATTGCATATACCCCCCAACGTGCGAGCGCGCAACAAAGACAGGACCCAACACACTGGGCGCATCCATCTGGATTACCCGACCGCTCGCGCATATGCCGACAATGTTGTTTATGTTGCGCTGGCACACCGCGCGCGTGCACCATGCACTCAAAGTCTCGCAAGCACGGCCTAGCATCGCCAGGCGCAGAAGTGCTAACGTCATGAAATTTGGGATTAATGTCCGCTTTGAAGAATTAAACCTTCCCACGGCGCCTAAACCTTGCCCCCCCCCACCCCCATGGGCGGGCCGGTTACCCTATCCCCGAACGACCTCCTAGCCAAGCATGCTTCTGGGTGTTCAACCGGAAATGGAAATGAACCGCTGCAGGGGCCCATGAAGAGGGAGCTGGGGGGGGGAATATTCCAACATCGTTGGTGACTCTTGGGTTTGCCCTTGTCCTCCTCCTCCTCAACCTCATCCTCCTCCTCCGCCGCATCCTCCCTCTCCTCAGCTATTGACCTCCTCCTCCTCCTCCGCCTCCTCCTCACCGTGCATTCTCCTGATCCTATTCCTCCTCCTCCTCCTCCTCATCCCCCTCCTCATGAATTATGATTAGTATTATCCTCCTCCTCCTCCTTCTCCTCCGCCTCCTCCTCCTCCCTCCTCCTCCCCCCTCCTCCTCCTCCTCCCCCCCCTCCTCCTCCTGCGCTCGTACCACGGCGAGCTCAGTCTTATCCACTGCAACTACTGCTACTACTACTTGAACTACTGCTGCCGCTGCTCCCAGCCGCGGTCCTTGCCGACGCCGTGGGACGGGTGGCGGTAGAAGTCGCCGTATGCGGGCGCAAATCATGGACGGTGCGAAAGAGAGACGAGCGGAGCTGGGGAAGGAGGGCGGAAGCGGCACCCCAAGAGAGAGGATGGGGTTCGACATGGGCAAGAGTGAAACAGTAAAAGGCAGAGACGATTATCTTCAAGGATTTAGCTGTGGGGTGACGGAGGCCTAATCGGTGAATGGGGCATTCAGGAAACGGGTGGCCGTGAAACTCCTGTAATAACCCCCAGAACCGAGGGCAGACGAGGTAGTGGGCCTGAGAGTCTAACCCATCTGTGCAGCCGAACATACATCTCTGACACTGCTGGAATCGCGATTGAGTCGTCCAAGCTCCAGCAAGTGTTTTCAGCACAGCTTGCCTCCAAGCAGGAGGAAGAGATAAAACAACAGTCTTGACCTGCGGCCAGCAGATCGCATCCAACTGCCGCGTCGGGACATTGGGGAAGAGGTGGGCGAGACGGGCTCGGAACGTCGGAGCGAGCGAGGGAGGAAAGAGGGAAGACATGAGGCTCTCGGCGGCGGCACGCTGGATCTTCTTGCCCTCACGCTGAGCCTCCAGTGCACACTGTAACGCACGGTGGCCAGCCTTCGCAAAATGCGGGTCGTTGCTGAAACCTGTCGACGCAGCATGCAAAGTGTCGCAGATCGGGGGCTCTGTCCAGAATTCTGGGCAGCGGCGGCCTCTACTTATATCTTCAAGGGAAAGCTCTGACCCCGCCTCCGAGAGCCGAGCAACGCAAGACCGCCATACCGAGAACGTGCTGATTGACGCTCGAACGAGCGTCGCCAGGTTGAGCACAAGAACACTACGGAGGCGAGGGCCGCCCCAGCTTTTGAGTGAGAAGAACGCCTGACGAGACAGCGAGCAGTGCGGCATCTTTAAAATCGAAGCGAAAATAGCATGCTCTTATGGAAGCACTGTCTTGGGGATCCGACAGAACTGAGCGAGGTACCCCAAACAGGATAGAGCACGCGAGCCGTATAAAGCGGGGGCGATGGCTGCGGGTGCTCCAGACTGGGCGATGCTGCACGATCGTTTCGCCCATTTGGCCAATGGCGCACCCCAGGAGGACGGGGACGCAGCAGGCCCTAGAAAGACACCTAAGTAGAGCAGCTTGGGAACTATGCATATGTCTGACCACTCGGGCAGGTGCTGATTAATCCAGCTCTTAAAAGTCTTGGCGACAGCCTCAGAGAAGGGTCCGCTTAATGGCACTAGTTTACATTTACTCAGTTTGAGGGTTAGGTTGGCCACCCGTTTCGAAGCCCGAAAAACCGTATATAATTTTCTGAGGGCGGTCAGATCTCGAATCACACGGCCTTTATCGTCCGCGCAGGCCCTCACAAGGCCCAGCTGCTTCTTCTCGAGGAGGGTTTCGAAGTGTTCGACGAATGGAAGAGACGCCACCGCATATAAGGTCCCGCTCGCAGGACACCCTTGGACAATCCCCGACTCGACGAGGTAAAGGAAAATCATGCACTGCCCGAGCTGGCCGTAGCACGCGACCTGCGTGTAAATAAACTCCAGAAACTCGAAGAGGGGCTGGGGGAGGTTGAGCGATTTCAGGATGAGGAAGATCCAGTGCTGGGAGATGGAGGGGAAGGCCTGGCCGTAGTCGAAAGAGAGAAGAGCCGGGAGCCTGGAAGTGCAATCTGGCATCATCGATGTGATCCGTGCCTCGGTATCGAGCTCTATGATGTTGTCCCCGAAATTTCGCTTGGGCACGAAGCCCCTCTGGGCCCGATGTATGAATCCTGGAAGAGCCCTCGTCAGAGGTTGTATGACTACCGAAGTTAAGATCTTGCAGTCAGTGTTCTTTAGTCCCAAGGGGCGGGTTCCACTGGCATCTCGGATCACTTTGTCGTTATCCTCGGGCTCGGAGCCCTTGACCAAGAAAGCGCCAAGCATCTGGTTGAAACCGAAGAGGGGGGGGTTGCCGGCCAGGTTCCAGTCCAACGTACTGCTCAAAACCCTCGGGCCCATGGGGTGGAATTTCCAGGCCCAGTAAGGGAGGCCATCTGGTCCAGGGGCGCTCGGCGAAACTCTGTCCAGGAAACGAACTATACTAGCTTCCAATGGTGGCGGCAGCCCTGAGAGGTCGATGCTTGGCTTGAATCTCTGTGCGCACTGGAAGGCGGCAGGCTTGTCGATCTTCGCCTCCGCAAAAACTGGACCCCAATGCTGAGCCAGACCTGACAAAATCTCGTTCGGCTTCGAGGTGACCGTGTCCTGGGCCGTCCTGAGGCCCTGCAACGGGAGCTTTCTGTCGAATGGAAACCAAAGACGGGCCCGGACCTGAAGGCTTTTGATGCGCTTGGCCAGTTTGGCCCGCTCGAAGGACGGAGGATCACTTTGAAGTCGCTGTCTGGCTTCTGCTTGGGCCGAGTGGAACATTGCCAGGTTGGCCTCGTTCGCCTCAGCGTGAAACCTGATCGGGTCAGTGATGCTCACGCTCTGCTGCATAACATCTAGGCTGATAAACTTGCGGCCGAAGGGGTGCGACAACATAATGCGCCTGGCCAGCACCATGTCTTGGTTCCAAACTGCTCTGGCGATAGTGCGGCACGCTACATACCGAGAGAGAGAGGATCGTGAGGCTTACCAGAGAGAAGTCGATTACGAGCATGGCGAGCTGCTTCGAACATGAGATCTTTGTGAAAGAGGAGTCGGAGAGGTGGAGAGAGAACACTATCGTCTATCTGTGCCAGCACGGACTCAATAAATTGCTGGCACTCGCGCCGCTTGAATATATCTTGATGGATTCGTCGATCCTTAGGCGGCGTCTGCGAGCGAGGTGCGAGGATCACGCTGATCGCAGCGTGGTCGGACATCTTTGTCTTAGCAAGCACCTCGGGGCACCCGTGGACTCGAGCGCCCGTGCACATCTGAAGAATGCACCATCCTGGTGCAGACACGAATAACCTATCCAGTTTCCCGAGAGTCCCCCGTGCGGCGCAGAAATGAGTCGGGTCTCCAGGGTCGATTTCGACGAGCTTCTTGAGGGTGGCCTTCCAGGGGCCTCCAGAGCGGATGGGCTGGGATGAGTGCTTATCGGGGTCCAGGGAGGGGATCACCTCTGGGTCCTGAGAGAGGGCAATACCAAGCTTGGAGAGGGAGAGGTCATCTAGCGCCTTCGGGGGCTCGTCCGAGAAATTGAAGTCGCCACCAACGAGGATGAAGCCTTTCAGGGGGTCCTCCGAGGCCTTGCTGAAATCCTTGTCGATAGTCTCTAAGATGAGGCTTCTCTGAGCCGACGTCAATCCGTGATTGTGAATGTTGAAATGTGAAATCCAAACACCATTTGGGAACAAAACTCGAACATTCACCGCACGGCCCCTGACAAGCTCAATCGGAGTGACTACTGGGCGCCTCGCAGCACCGTGGGTCTCGTTGAAATCAGGCAATATGGCAATCACCCCGCCAGCTGGATGAGCAGAGACAGGAAAGAGAGAGAAGAACGCCTGGAACGGGCGACGCATGTGGAACAGCATGTCCTTGATTTCAGCCTCTGGCCCGTGAGACTCCTGAATCCCCAAGATGGTACCAGGTCCCAGGAGAGACTTGACGTAGCGGATTTTGCGGTCCTTGATCTTCTGCTTATGGTGGAACAGAGCTTGGGCATTCCAGGAACAGAACGAGAGAGGGGAGGCCGAGGAAGAGGAGCTGCTCCACGCCGAAAAAAGCGGGTTAAACCCGCCACGAGACTGGCTCAGGTGGTCGCACAATCTGCGCCACCTTGGCCTCGATGTCAGTACGACTGAAGTTGAAGTGCAGCAAGTTGGCGTCGGCGTACTCGATCGTCGGGACCTCGTTGCCCTGAGCTGGAACGCCTCGGAGCAGGGGCTTCCATTGCAGGCTAACCTCACCCTTCGCCTTGTTGATGTGGAAGTGATGCTGCGGAAATAGTTCAGAAAGGACCCGTTTGAGCTGTTGTGCGACGATCTCGCGCTTGACTTGGGCCTGCGACTTGTCCACTGAAACGAAGACCTCCGACGGGGTGTTCTGTGAGTCCATCGCACTGAATCGTTGCCACTCTTGCGCACTAATCTTGAAACTGCCGATAATATGCCCCACTCGGCGGGCAGCATACGCTGGAGAACCCTCGATGCGGAGCACGAACCTCTTCCCCGCTGGGTCTCCTTCAAATAGCACTTCACTGCGAGGAATACTGTTCTTCTCAATGATAGGTTTGACCACGGACTCTGCGACGGACTCCTTGGTCGAGTAACTCTTGCACCTGATGACGAGAATTGTGGGGTCTGGCTGTCGATCGAACTCGTTCGCTGAGGGGTCCGCCACCGCCTGTGGTACCTCCTTCTGCATGATCCCCAGAATTTCTTCCAGGCGGGTAATCTTTGCCGACATACGTGCCATCTCGTCTTTCTGTTCACGTTGTGTGCGTTCGAGTCCTGACATGCGTGCTTCCACTTGTCTGCTGAGGCCACCGACAGAGTCGTTGACCAGCTTGCCAAGGGAACCGACGTTGGTGGAAATCGCGGATATGGCCTGCAGAAGCTCCTTCTCTGTGTCGTCCACGTACTGCTTGAGGTCATCTGTCTCCATGGCATCTTCGAAGGATTGTGAGCGGCTCCTGTCGTCGTCACGTTGGCCCCCACGGCCGCGCTGAGGAGTGCCAGAATCACCAGTACCAGGGCGAACACGACCACCACGTCCCTGAGTTTGAGCAGCAGCTGCGGCACCTGCGACCACTTCCTGGGACGGAAACGCCGGCGCTGCCTCGAGCAGAGCAAGAAGTCCACCATTGTTTGCACCAGCCATCGTTCGCTCTGGCTACGCTGGTAGCCGAAGGCGCCCAAAACGACGGAGGGGCGGTGGGTGGAGAACGCCGTGGCCTGCGGCGGCCTGAGAGATGGCCACGGAGGGGCCAAAGCTAATCTGCTGATTCGTTTAGCCTTGAGCCAAAATGGCTACGGTCATCATCATCATCATCATCATCATCATCATCATCATCATCATCATCATCATCAATCATCATCATCATCATCATCATCATCATCATCATCATCATCATCATCATCATCATCATCATCATTCATCAGCATCAGCATCAGCATCAGCATCACCAGCATCATCATCATTATGTTCCTTTCCCTCCTCCTCTCTTCCTTCTCCGCCTTCTCCTCCTCCTCCTCGCCGTGCATCCTCCTCCTCCTCCTCCTCCTCCTCCCCTCCTCCTCGTCCTCCTCCTCCTCCTCCTCCTCCCCGTCCTCCCTCCTCCTCCTCCTCCTCCTCCTCCTCCTCCTCCTTCCCGCCTCCTTCTCCTCCTCCTTCTTTTTGTTCCCTCCTCCTCTACCCCCTCCTCCTCATTCCCCGCCTCCTCCTCCTCGTACTCCTCCTCCTCCTCCTCCTCCCCCTCCTCCTCCTCAACCTCATCCTCCTCTTGCTTCCCTCCTCCTCATCATCATCCTACTCCTACTCACGCTTCTTGCTCCGTCTCCTCCTCCTCTTCCTTCTCTTCCTCCTCCTCCCCCTCGTCCTCCTCCTCCTCCTCATCCCCTCCTCCTCCTCCTCATCCTCCTCCTCCTGCTCCTCCGCCTCCTTCTTCTCCTCCCGCCCTCCTCTACCTCCTCCTCCTCCTCCTCCTCCTCCTCCTCCTCCTTCTCCTCCTCCTCTCCCGCTCCTCTTCCTCCTCTTCCTCCTCCTCCTCCTCCTCCTCCTCCTCGTCCTCCTACTCCCGAGGCAGAGGCGTCTCCTGGAGGATCTGCGCCTCCACGAAATGGCCGATGCGGCACTTCGCCATCACTGGGATGGACACCGCGTTGATGATCTCCTCTTGGCCCCGCGCCCGACCGGAGCTGGGGCCCTGGGGAAAGGCGGCCCCTATCTAGAGGAAAAAACACTCGCACAAACATCAGTTGTCGACGGTCTGTGCGGACCGTTGACAGTTTGTGCGTGCCGCTTCCCTTCTCTGGTATGAGCGGTCGGTGGGCGAGTGGCGGTCGATGCAGCCCCCCGTGAGCCTCTACCCTCCTAGCGTTGCCCCTGGCTCCCAGAGACCTCGAGCTCTCAGCGTCCCCCTGCTCTGCCCGCGCACTGCACGACACGCGCGCGTGAACACGGATACTTCTTCTGGCCCAGGGAGAGGGCCCAGGGCCAGGAACGCCTCGCCAAGGGGCGGTTGGAGGCTCCTTGGAGAAAGGCGGCCCGCCAGACGGGGTACACACTCGAGCGAGGTTCGGGGAGCAGGGCTCGAGCCAAACAGTGCTTGTCGTCTTCGCGTTGGCTGCGGAACGAAGACAAGACGAGAACGGCCCGCGAAATCGCCAAAACACCGTTTAGCTCGAGCCCTGTCGGGGAGGCAGGAGGACAGGGAGGAGAGGGGCGGGACAAGGGGGGGAGAGGGGGGAGAGGAGTGCGGACGGCTCAATGCGGCGCGTCGTGACAAGACGTTCCACCAGCGAGTCGCAAGAATGGCCCGCGAAAGTTTTACGATGGAGCCCAGATGACACCCGACGTCGCGGTCGGCCACAGCGTCGATGGACAGATAAGGTGGGTGCGTTTCTGCAGCACGAGCGCGGTACGAGCCTCGTGGATGGTGTGCGCAGCCAACAGCGTTTCCCTTGGACGCGATTGGACTATGAACTTCTAAATCGTATGCGGTGGCCCGCCTGATGTATGATAGATGCTACCAGATGGTATGTCAACCACTTCTCTTGCATGCGCGTGTCATTGCCGTAATGCATCAAGCCCTTAGTCTCCGATTGCGGAGCGAGGGGCCTCCATGGGCTCCTCGATCGGACTTAACTTGACTTGGCCCAAAATCGCCAGAACATCAGGCAGAACATAGCAGACAGCAGATAAACGGAAACGCCGAAACTCCGTAGCCGCCAAAGCGGCGGGGAGGAACACATATTTCGCCGCTGGGAGCGTAGTTCCCCCCCCCCCTGAGAGAGGAAAGCAAGGTCCTCCCTGTACAACTCTGGGGCTAACATTATCCCCCTCCCAACCGTTAACTCCAAAACAGAAGGTACTGAGTACGTCCAGCCTGACCATTGAGAAGCTCCTTGATCCGCTCCAAGTCCGCCGACCCCTTGTGGGTCTCTAGGTGTGTGAGATAGTTTCCCCCCATAGTCCCCCCCATGGGACCCCAAACCGGCGATGTGACCCCCCCCCCCGGGCCGACGCCGAGCGACTCACGGGCCTCTTTTGGGCCCACATGGGGCTCAAGACGGGCCAAGAAGGCCCCAAGTCGTCTCCCAGACGGCCCACGAGGGCCCCGAGACGCCAAACGAGCGCTCCAAGACGCCGAAGATGGCCTCAAGACGAGCCAAGAGGCCTCCAAGACGGCCCAAGAGGCCTCCAAGAACAGTCCTCAGAAGGGCCGAAGAGCCGAAAATCATCAAATTCGTCTGGGAAAACGTACATTTTCGTCATATACGACTTGTCGGCCTTTACGGCGTTGAAGACGGGCCAAGAGCACCCCAAGACCGCCCCAAGACGGCCAAAGAGGCCCCCAAGAGGCGTCCAAGTCGGCCCAAGAGGGCGCCAAGACGGCCCAAGAGGCCCCCAAGACGGCCCAAGAGGGCGCCAAGACAGCCCCAAGAGGGGCCATAGAGGGGGAGCTGGAACCGACAATCCGAGCCTTCCGCCCCAAGACGGCCCAAACGAGCGCTCCAAGACGCCGAAGATGGCCCCAAGACGAGCCAAGAGACCTCCAAGACGGCCCAAGAGGCCTCCAAGAACAGTCCTCAGAAGGGCCGAAGAGCCGAATATCATCAAATTCGTGTGGGAAAACGTACATGTTCGTCATATACGACTTGTCGGCCTTTACGGCGTTGAAGACGGGCCAAGAGCACCCCAAGACTGCCCCAAGACGGCCCAAGAGGCCCCCAAGAGGCGCCCAAGTCGGCCCAAGAGGGCGCCAAGACGGCCCAAGAGGCCCCCAAGACGGCCCAAGAGGGCCCCAAGACGGCCCCAAGAGGGGCCCAAGAGGGGGAGCTTGAACCGACAATCCGAGCCGTCCGCCCCAAGACGGCCCAAGAAGGCCCCAAGAGGCCCCAAGAGGCCCCCAAGACGCCCCTAAGAAGCCCCAAAAGGCCCCCAAGAGGGCCCCAAACGGCCCCAAAACGGCCCCCAAGAGGCTTCGAAACTGCCTCCAAGAGTCCCGCGAGAAGCCCCCTAAGAGATCCCCGCGATCACCTCACCTCCTCCTCCTCCTCCTCCTCCTCCTCCTCCTCCTCCTCCTCCTCCTCCTCCTCCTCCTCCTCCTCCTACTTCTCCTCCTTCTCCTCTTCCTCCTCCTCACGACCACACGCTGCACTCAACATTGCAGGAGGATGGTGCCGACACTGCATGCGACCCCAGAGAAACCACAACGCTCTTCGAACAAAGGGGTCGGCGGACGTGGCGCACGCCTACAGAATCGGTCTCCAGACCCCTCCCGGGGGTGCACTCTGACCCTTTTGCGAGGCAGATCCCAGCCGTGGTGACGAGACGCCTCCTGGAGGCCCAGCTGGCGCGAGAAAGGCCATGGAGGGCAGCCATGTTGTCTCTCGACTGGCCCTCCTCCGAACGGAGTGCGTCCAGCCTCTTGACCTCTGTCGGAGGCCTGGACACGAGCACCAGCTCCAGGACAGGGGCTTGCCTCCACAGGGGGGGGGAGATGATCCTGGGTGCTGGTGCTGGTGGAAGTACTCCAGATTTCGTAATAAAGGGAGGGGGGGTCTCATTTTGGGGGGGGGGTCTCTTCCAGGCTATCTTGGAGGGCCTGGGGGGGTCTGGGGACGATGTTTTGGGGGGTTCTCCCACGGGGGAGGTCTGAAATGGCTTGTCTTGGAGGGTCCAGACCCCCTCCCTTTCATTACGAGATCTGGAGTGTCTCGGCCACACAAGAAGCCCGAGTATCACCACCATCGCCGAGATCGGGATCGTGTTCCCTCGTTGGAGGCACACCGCCGATGTTGGTGTTAGTGCCCCCCTCCAGGCCTCCGACTCTGAGAGGCTCCTTGATCATCTTCGGGTCGGACATGCGCGCCACTCCCTTCTGGGTGCGGATGTCGGCGGGGATGCGCTCCAGCGCCATCACGGCGCAGGCGCCGGCTGCCTGTCCCCCTGCTGCGGCTACGCCTCCCGAAAGTCTTCCCCCCCTCCTTGTCATGCCTGGCTGTCTCCATTACCATCCCTCTTCCTGCCCAGATCGGGGGGGTGTACATCTGCTTCAAGACGAGCCAGCGTTGTCTCCAGGCTTCGGGCACCCGGACCATAGCAGATCGATCCGGCTTGAGAAATGCAGCCGAAGGCTGGGGTCTAACTGGGGGCTCCGGTCGTGATATCTCGCGATGTTGCAAGGCGTACCACAGCATTGAATCTCAGGGCACTCTTCTGCCACCACACAACGGCATCATAGTTTGATGGCGGGTGCCTGTGCAGTGACTGGGCGCTTGCTGGACGAGGCGAGGCACACGGCTCCCACGGGCTCGAGGAAACAAGCACCGGAGCAGAGCTGTGGACCGAGTCTTCTCCGAGCTGGGCACCGCCCCGAAACCACAAGGTGGTCGCCGCTAAGTCTCCGAAATGATCCACACCCTTCGGTGGGCTCGCGCGTGCGTCAGGCTCACCGAGGCCTGCGTCCTGAAAAAAACCCGGGGGGGCCGAAGGGCCATCCGCTTCGGCGCGACGTTTCTCGGCGACTTTGACACACAAATAGATAGACACAAATAACAGGATTCCCGATCTGCTCCCACATTCTCTGGGCTTTCGACTTCCCCCCACCTCCAAGATTTTCCCATACTTCAGAGGGAGTCGACGATTAATTGTGTCTGTGTTCTTTCCCTCCTGAGTAAGGCGCAACTGGAAGTGCAAAGGACGGCTCCTCGCTTGCTGTGGAGAAAGGTAATCTTCCCCGTCCTCCCTCCCTCGCTCGATGCCTCCCTCCCACCCCCCGCCGCTTGTCACCCTCAGCCTTCTCCTGCTCCATCTTCTCACCTTCATTTCCTAGTCCCACTCCTCCTCCTCCTCCTCCTCCTCCTCCTCCTCCTCCTCCTCCTCTCCTCCCTCCTCTCCTCCTCCTCCTCCTCCTCCTCCTCCTCCTCCTCCTCCTCCTCCTCCTCCTCCTCCCTCCTCCTCCTCCTCCCCTCTCATCCTCATCATCATAAAACTGTTCAACCTCATCCTTTATCCTCATCCCGCCTCTTGCATTACACCTCCTGTTCACTCCTCCTGCAACTGCTCCTCCTATTCCAGCCCTCCTTCATCTTCTTCCTCCTCCTCCTCCTCCCCAACCCCTCGTCTCCATCCTCCGAAGATATTACCATCGTTGACGGAATGATTGCGTCCTTGTCCTCTCCTTGATCATGTTACTCCTGATCTCTTCCTCTCACTCCCCCCATCCTTCTGCTCATCATCATCCGTCTCGCTTTTCATCCTGCTCCTCCCGCTCCTGCTGTGCCGTTCTCCTCCTCCTCCTCCTCCTCCTCCTCCTCCTTCTCCTCCTCCTCTGCTCCTCCTCCTGTACCTCCTCCTCGCTCACCCCTCCTCCCCCCCCCACTCCTGCCTCGGCGATCTTGGCCTGCTCCGGATTCATCACGTCCATGATGACGCCGCCCTGCCCGACACGAGAACCGCAGGCGGGGGCCCCATGGGGCTGCGCTCGGGCCCGAGCTCCGCTCTCCTCCTCCTCCTCCTCCTCCTCCCCTCCTCCTCCTCCTCCTCCTCCTCCTGCTCGTTCTGCTCCTACTCCTCCTCATCCTCCTCCTCCTCCTACTCCTCCTCCTCCTCCTCCTCCTCCTCCTCCTCCTCCTCCTCCTCCTCCCAAGCATCCTCTCTTCCCACCCTCCCTCATTCCCTTCCTCCCGCTGCTGACGCCGACCCGCCGCGCCGCCAAACCACCGCGAGGCCCACTGCCCCACGCTCACCGACGTCCCCGAGACGCCCCGTGGAGCCAGGGCTGCGCCCCCGCTCAAAAAATGGTAGCGAAGGAGGCGGAGGAGGCGGAGGAGGAGGAGGAGGAGGAGGCGGAGGAGGAGGCGGAGGCGGAGGACGAGGAGGAGGAGGAGGCGGAGGAGAAGGAGGAGGCAAAGGCGGAGGCGGAGGCGGAGAGGAGGAGGAGGCGGAGAGAGGAGCGGCGGAGGCGGGGCGGAGAGCGGAGGCGGAGGACGAGGAGGAGGGAGGCGGAAGAGGAGGCGGAGGCGGAGGCGGAGGAGGAGAAGGAGGAGGAGGCGGAGGAGGAGGAGGAGGAGGAGGTGGAGGCGGAGGCGGATGCATCGGCGGAGGAGAAGGAAGAGGAGGAGGCGGAGGAGGCGGAGGCGGAGGCGGAGGACGAGGAGGAGGAGGAGGCGGAGGAGAAGGAGGACGAGGAGGAGGCGGAGGAGGCGGAGGAGGCGGAGGCGGAGGCGGAGGCGGAGGCGGAGGCGGAGGCGGAGGCGGCGGAGGAGGCGGAGGCGGAGAAGAGGGAGGAGGAGGAGGAGGAGGCGGAGGAGGCGTGGTTTGGGGGCCCGCGCCGATCGGCAAAACAATGAATCAAACAACGATCACACCTCAGCAGTGCCGAGGAGCGGGCGGGCGGCCGCCCCCTCGCGACACACGCCCCGCGCTGCCCTCGCCACGCTCCACCCTCCCCGGGCGCGGCTCGGTCAGAGGCCTCCCAGATGGGGTCGGAGCCGACGGAGTCGGAGGATCGCGATGGGCTTTTCCACCACCACCACCATAAGTTGGAGGGGGAGGGGGTCCTCCTCCTCTTCCTCCTCCTCCTCCTCTTGCACCTCCTCCTCCTCCTCCTCGCCCTCCTCGTCCTCCGCCTCCTTCCCCCCTCCAATGTATGGTGGTTGTGGTGGTGGTGGTGGTGGTGGTGGTGGTGGTGGTGGTGGTGGTGGTGGTGGTGGTGGTGGTAGTGGTGGTGGTGTGTGGTGGTGGTGGTGGTGGTGGTGGTGGTGGTGGTGGTGGTGGTGGTGGTGGTGGTGGTGGAAAACAGGCCCATCAGAGTCGGAGGATCGCGCCGCATCGCCGATGCATCGGCGATGCATCGTCGACGCGGGCGATGCCTCGGCAACGTCGACGTGAGGCAAATCGGGCTCCACATCGAGCCGCATCGGCAACGCATCGGCGACGCCTCGGCGATGATGCGGCGCGATCCTCCGACCCCGGGGGGAAGACAGGCGCGCCGTCCGTGCACATTCGGGGAGCCACGGGGATCCTTTGGGGCCCCTGCCAGGGCCCCTTTCGTGCAGCTCGCGCCCATCCGCAAGGCCGCGACCGAACAAGTTCGGCGGTGGACAAACCTCCCTTTAATAAACCTCCCCTTAGTGAAAACGGCCCGGGGCCGAAACCGACGGACCCGAAACGGCCTGGGACCGAAACCAAACCGAAAACGGCCAGTTCCTTGCACGGCGTGTCAGGGTAGGAGATCTGTCGACCTCCGACAAATGAGGACCGCTGCCCAGACGGGCTGCCAAGCCCGTCAACCAGACAGCAGGCGAAAACGCAGAAAGACGACCGCCGTGACAGCGGCGGTCGGGCGGGTCTCTGACCCCGCAGAATGGTCCTCGGATTGGTGCCCACTTACCGCCCTCCGTTGCCCACTTCCCGCCCTCCCTCAGGGTCGAGGCCTCTGGGGGTCTCTCCGGAGGCCCTCCTCGGAGGTCCCCCGCATGGAGGCCCGCGCCGCGGGGGCCCCAAAAACTCCCACAGACCCTGGAAGCTCCCATTCCCGCCGGACAGACCTACCAAACCACCCCAACCTAACCCGGAGTCCCCGTTGGGCTCGTCGACTTCCAGGGGGGAGGGGGGCACTCCAGATCGTCGAGGAAACACGAGGGGGGCTTGGGAGGCAGAGACCGCCCCCCCTCTCGCGCCTGCATCTCCTCTCGGGCACACGCGGACTTGGATTGCAGTCGCCGTGCTACCAGAAGGAGCGCACCACGAGGAACGAAGGGGCTCTTCCGCCCGCGGCGGGCCACGGCGTGAGACAGGTTCCACGACATAGATCTAGAACGAACGGCGCGAAAGCCCTGGCCCCTCCCGAACCCGAAGAGGTGCTCATCTCAAAATCTGGACTGTGCAGACCCGTGGATCTCGCGCGTGGGCGACGGATTCCTGGATCGGGGGACCGGGGAAGGACCCCCCCGAGACATCGCGTCTGGCGACGGGGCGCGCCGAGTTCGTTTGGAAGCGGACCCGTCGCCAATCTGCGCGCCTTGTTCCATGTTTGTGCTTCCTCGATCTGGCCCCTTTCCCTCCTCGCCCCCAGCCCCGCTCTGTCCCCCTCCCGCCACCCGCCACCCGCCACCCGCCACTCGCCCCCTCTCGGGGGGCCCCAACCAGTGTGGTGACGGACCATGCGGTAAACTCGGAAGCCCCAACGACCTCACCACACAGACTGTCACTGCACGGTCCTGGGACCTCAGGAGAAAGAGGAGGGAGGAGGAGGAGGAGGAGGAGGAGGAGGAGGAGGAGGAGGAGGAGGAGGAGGAGGAGGAGGGGGAGGAGGAGGAAGAGGATGAGGAGGAGAGGGGGAGGAGGAAGGAGTAGGAGGAGGAGGAGGAGACGGGAGGTTCTGAGGAGGAGGATGATGAGAGAGTGAGGAGAAGGAGGAGGAGGAGGAGAGGAGGAGGAGGGAGGGGGATGAGGGGAGGGAGGAGCGAGGAGGAGGCGGAGTGAGGAAGGAGGAGGAGGAGGAGAGAGGAGGAGGAGGTGGAAAAAGGAGGAGGAGGAGGAGGAGGAGGAGGGAGGAAGGAGGAGGAGGAGAGGGGAGGATTAGGGAGGAGGGAGGGACGAGAAGGTAAAGGAGAGTGGAGGAGGGAGGAAGGGAGGTGGAGGGGAGGGAGAGGAGGAGGAGAGGAAGGAGGAGGAGGAGAAGGGAGGGGAGGAGTAGGGGGAGGGGGGAGGAGGCAGGAGGAAGAGGAGGAGGAGGAGGAGGAGGAGAAGGGAAGGAGAGAGAGAGAGAAACAACAAAAAAAAAAAAAACATGAGTGCGTCCAAGCCGCCCGAACGCAAACGCTTAGAGAAGGAAGAAAGGAGGGAAGGGGCCGATAACCGAGCCGCTGTCGCGGCGGCTTGCCCTCCCGCGTCCTCTTGATACGGTGCTTCTGCACAGCTAGGGTCGGGGGGTGGTCCGAGGGGCCCTTGCAGGGCCGCTTGAGGGCCACCACCTTACCCGTCCCGCCCCCCAGAGCCCCGCGCCAGAGGTCCAGGAGGGCCCGACGGGGCCCCACCACGCGACAGCCCAGGCCACGAGGCACGATCGGCGACCCCCGCCGAGGCCGACCCCTCCCCCGAAGCAAAGCCGACCGCCCCCACAGGGCCAGGCTCCACATCGGTGGGGGTCAACTCCCAAGAGCCCCCCGCGCCAGACCCCAAAGGGGCCTCCACCGAGCCCTCGGGTTCAAGGGCAGACTCCTCAAGCAGCCTGTCGGCCGCCTCCAGCGCCGCACGGACCCCCTCGGACACAACCAGTTCCCAATCATTGGGGCCCCGCCCAAAAACCCTATTCGCTTTCCAGAGGCCAAACGGGGCAGGACGGCAACGGGCGGCAGCGGAGGCAAGGGCGCGGAGACCTGCCTCGGTCCTGGTGAATGTGCCGCACTCACGACATCGCCACTCCCCTCGGGTCTTGCTGTGCCAGAGGTTGTGGCCGCCAGGTCCAGAAATAGAAACGACAGGTGCGCACAACACGGGCTGGGGGGCCCTCGATCTAACAGCCTCCGACGAAGCCTCAGACGAGCACAGACCAAGCTCAATCAGGCGCCCCCCAGCCCATCACAAAAAAACGTTAGAAATCCTGCGATTCCTTCAGGGCCAGCCTATACAAATCAGCCTCCCCGCGGCCGACCGAGTCACACGAAGCCCCCAGTTGTGCAAAGAAAACTGCCCAGGCGTTCCCTAGGACATAACAAAACTGAGGGCCTTGCTCAGGCCCTCGGCAAACAGCATCGTCGAGGGCACCAGTGCACAACAGGGCGGCCCCCCCGAAACTCAACCACGGCGTGGGCATGCCTTCACACTGACGCGCGCTTGCCTGCTGAGTTGGTGGCGACAGAACTCCATTCATGCGCTTCCTGGGCTAAGCCAAGCAGGCCCGTGACGACAACTTCTACAGACGGCACAGTTTGCAACGCTCGCAGCATCGCCACACGCGCAGCTTCGCCGACTGTCTGGCTCGGCCCCGCCAGCCGCCCATGGCAGGCACGCCGTGGGAGCCATGCGCCAGGCATCTGGACAGAAGCCCATCCGCAACTGCGGATCTCTGGCTGGTCAGTCCACCTCCACGAGCCGTCCGTGAACACAACGTTGCCTCGCTGGCCCGGGGGGTGGTCCAATCGGCCCACCAGAAGATCGGCGGGCCTCGAAGTGGCTGCACCCGAGGGCCTGGCAGCAGGGGCATGCCCACCGAAAGCTCAACACTGTGAGGATCAGAAATCCCTCGGCGCCCGATCGGGCCCTGGGCAAAAAAAAAAAACATCACGACTCTGTCCTGGGCTTCTGCGATGGGCACCTCCTCTTCTCCGTCAAGAAGTGTCTCTCGCAACGCAGAGCACTGCAAGAGAAGGTGACCTACAAACTCGCAAGGGGCTCCGCATCCTCGACACTTTGGATCGAGCGCGTACCCAGCAACGTGCAATCGATCCTTCTGCCACCAGGAGTTGGCCCAACAGGATCGAATGATCCCCGCTGGCTTCGGGGTCTTGAGCGCGGCCCCCTTGGACCCAACCGAAGCTCGGATCCCGCGAGGCCACAACCCGCAACCAACCGGGAAATCATGAAAGTGAGTCTCGATCCTACGCATCTGCCACCTCTGGATGCCAGCACGCAGCATCTGAACCATACGATGAGGGTCGTTGTGCAATAACGAGTAAGACTCCCCAAGGTCAGACCGCACAACTAACGACGACTCCATCGACCAATCGACCTCATCAATGACAGGCAAACGACCGCCATGAGCCCAGACGCGTGCTGCCACGTGAATGTCTCTGCTCGCTTGCCAGCAAGAGCCCTCCAAGCCCGCTCTAGCATTCTAAGCGAAACTGTCTGCATCCACACTACATGGGCATAGTGCTTAAAGGGGGCCAAGGTGGCCTCGAAAATCGGGTCGTACCATGGGTCGGGCTGAGTCGCAATGTAGACCGTAATGGACCCCCACGACCCTTGGCACCAACGAGAGCCCCCACAGCAGCTCGGAGCCCACGGAGCTCGGTGTCAGTAGTGCCCGAAACTCCACAGCTATGACTAGCCCCTGGAAGCAAACCAGTCCTCCAGAGACGCGAAACATTGTTACCTACAGCTTTGCGCAGAGGGAACGTCCTGCGCATTCGAATCCTCAGCTTGGCTGGGCGGGTTTCTGTGATCGGTCTCATCCGATCACGTCCTGACAACTCATGTCCGAGATTGCGCATGTTGCGCTTGACCTCCAGTCTAGCCCCACTAGAACAACGGCAAGAAGCCCGACGGACCGCGCGGCTGCCAGCTACATACCCCGACTTGCCAGAGGCCGAATTCTGAAGAACAATACCTAACTGCATCACGTCTGCCTTCAAGTTAGCCGAGGCATTCCAGAGATTCGTACCCCCCCCCCCACATACCCCCGCCCACTGTTTCGTGAGGTCGTCTACCAACGCTCTTGGCACGACGTCACACAGCCTGACACTCTGCGCACTGCACGCGGCGTGAGGAGGGTGAGGAGGGGGGGGTGAAGTGGGCGCACCCAGCAAGGAGCCCTTGCCATGAGGCAAAGTGCTCGGAGTGTGAGGCAAAGGCCTTCGGTACTCGCGGTCGGCGGCGGCACTCCCGCAAACCACCCCAACCGGGCCGCAGTGGACACCCGTGACGTCGAGAAGACCTCGGGCCACGGGCGCCGCCGACGCTCCAGGCGGCCCTTCCGCCGCGCGCAGCGAGGGCGCCCCCGGGGGGTCGCCCGGGAGCCCCGCGCGCGGTCGCCCGCCAGTGGGAGAGGTGCAACCCTTCGAAACGACAGGATGGAGCCAAGACCAAGACTGAGAGGCAACGACAGGGGGGGACTGGCACAGGAGGGGATGCATTGACCTGGAATCGGCGATACATCACCGATAGATCGGCGAGAGGCCTCCGATCGTGAACGCGAACCCTCCTGGGCAGGTTGGGGGCATCGGGCCCCCATCGGCGATCTGTGGGCGACTGGGGGTCGATGCATCCCCCCCTAGGCCTATCCCCCCCTTCTCGCTGCCCCTGACAGACGGGGGACAGGAATGCTGTCCGGACACATCTTCCCGGCCCCCACGAATGGTCAAAACTCGAGATGTCGATTCGGGTCGGGCGAAAGGGGGGGATAGCAAAGGGGGGGTTTGAGAATCAGCTCACGTAGCTGATTTTCCCGGCGCCTCGAGGAATGGGCCCCTCGGTGGGGCCGAAATCAGCTGCATGCAGCAAATTTCGTACCCCCCCGTTTCCCAACCTCCCCCTTTCGTCCGGCCCGATCGATGTTCCACGATCCTCTTGTTGGCACGAGTTCCAACGAGATTTCTGTTGGCCAGCTGGGGGGAGGTCGGCCAGGCGCGCCCGCAGGGCCGCGCGCCACTCGGCGTCTGCCCCCCCCCTCCTTCCTCCTCCTCCTCCTCCTCCTCCTCCTCCTCCTCCTCCTCCTCCTCCTCCTCCTCCTCCTCCTCCTCCCCCCTCCTCCTCCTCCTCCTCCTCCTCCTCTCCTCCTCCTCCCTCCTCTCTCTCCTCCTCCTCCTCTTCCTTTCCTCCTCCTCCCTCCTCTCCCCTCCCCCTCCTCCTCCTCCTCCTCCTCCTCTCTCCTTCCTCCTCCTCCTCCTCCTCCTCCTCCTCTCCTCCTCCTCCTCTCCTCTTCCCTTCTCCTCCTCTCCTCCTCCTCCCCCTACTCCTCCCCTCCTCCTCCCTCCTCCTCCTCCTCTCCTCCTCCTCCTCTCTCCTCCTCCTCCTCCTCCTCCTTCTCCTCCTCCTCCTCCTCCGCTTCTCTCCTCCTCCTCCTCCTCCTCCTCCTCCTCCTCCTCCTCCTCCTCTTTTCCTTCTCCTCCGCCTCCTCCTCCTCCTGCTCCTCTGCCCCCCCCCGCCCCCCTTGCACGGTGCGGTCACCCCCGCGTCTGGCAGTCCCCGGCGAGGCCTTGCCGCCCCCCCCCCCCGGGGCGGCAGGGGGGGGGGGGGCGGGGCGTCGCGCGGCCTTCAGCATCGAGGGCAAGCCCTTCTTCACGCGCTCGGAGCCTCGGGGGAGGGGCGCTTGCTCTGCCCGCCGGCGCGTGCACTGGCCCGACCTGTGACTCCAAGACACATCCCCAGCATGTCATGCGCAGTCGGCAACTAGGAGCTGCGTGAGGAGGAGGAGGACGAGGAGGTGGCGGGTGAGCAGCAGCGGCAGCAGCAGGAGGAAAACTGGAGCGGAGGGAGTGGGAGGCGAAGGAGGCCCAGGGGCAGGCGGCGGAGGGGAAGCGAGGGGGGCGACAACGACGAAGAAGGACTCGGCCCGCGCCAAGGCGAGAGCGCAAGTCTGAACGACGGGAACGAGCGCCGATCCGAAGATAAGGCCCACGCTTCAGCAGGCAACTGTTTTGAAGAGCGCCGGAAACATCGGAGTGCAAAATCCGCCGACCCGTTGGGGATCAGCGGCGTGTGAGATTTTCCCCCCTCCCCAAACCCCTCCCCCGGGAGCCTGGTCCCGTCGATTTGGACGGGGGGGGGTGCCCGGCCGGATTCCCCGGCGCGGGCCGGGATTCCCCGGCGCGGCCCGGGGGAGGTCAACCGCTCCAGAGAGTCTGATGGGGGGGCCGACAACGAGCCAACAGGCTCCCAAGAAGCTCCCAAGACGGTCCACGAGGGCTCCGAGACGCTCAAGATGGCATCCAGACGGCCCAAGATGCCGCCAAGACGCTCCAAGAGGCTTCCAAGAGGCCTCCCAAGAGAGCTCCAAGAGGCCAAAATCGTTGATTCTCAGCATTTTTTTTCGAGGTTGTTGGCCTTCTAGCTTTTTTGCGTTTCCGACGCTCCAAGACGGCGCAGGAGGCCCCCAAGACGGCCCCAAAACGACCGAAGGGGCCCCCAAGTGGGCCGCAAGACGGCTCAAGAGAGCGTCAGGACGGCCCAAGAGGGCCTCAAGACAGCCCAAGAGGGCCCGAAGAGGGGCCCAAGACAGGCTCCAGACGGAGACCACGAGCCTCAATTTCTACCTATCCGGCCCAAAACGCAACCAGGGGGCCCCAAGAGGCCCCCAAGAAGCCCCAAGAGGCCCCCATGAGGCCCCCTAGAAGCCCAAAAGAGACCCCAAGAGGCCCCAAAACAGCTCCCCAGAATCCTCCAAACTGCCTCTCGTATGCCTCCGACAGGATTTTCACGATGGCGCCCTTCCGTCGCCGCCCTCGTCTTTCGCGTCGTGTTTGCCTGCTGTTTTTCACCCTCGTCTGTCGCCCCGTCCCCCCCCTCAGCTCTCTGTGTCATCTTCTCTCCACCACCTCACCTTCCACCCTCTCCGCCTTTTGCTCCTCCCCCCGCCCTCGCTCCTCCACGCCCACTTGTCCATCCCGCCCCCGGTAGTCAGATGCCTCGCAACTTCCGTGCCTTGTCGCAGCGCCCGTCACTTGGGTCCGCCGCGCGTTTCGGAGGGTCTCTTCGCGGCGCTCGCCCCGCTTTCAGGCACTTCGCGCACACCACTGGGGCGTTCCGCTTGAAATAATACTTCTTCTGGTCTTTCGACAAATGGCCCCCGTCTGAAATAGCTGGCTTCTTCCAGTCTCCTTTCCAGGGGCACGCAGAGCATTCAAACTTTGTCGCCCCCGTGCGCGCATCGTGGCACGCACGGCGCACGACAGGGCGACGCCCTTGGCCCGTGCCCCGATAATGCATCATCTGGCTGTCGGACAAATGTCTCACGTCTGTAACAGAAGGCGCCTGCCCATCCGCCCCCTTCGGGCATGCCCCCCATCCGCCCCCTTCGCAGCATGCGCGGCACATGACCGGGCGATGTCCCTGACCCGTCTCCACATAATGCCTTCTCTGGCTGTCGGACAAGCGACTCACGTCTTCAAACGCGGGCGCCTTCCCATCCGCCCCCTTCGGGCACGCCCCACAACGAAAAACTTGGGCCCCCGACCCCGACTTGACGTAGCACGCGCGGCGCATGACCGGGCGATGCCCCTGGCCCGTTGTTCTATAATGCTGTCTCTGACTGTCGGAAAAATGACTCACGTCTGCAAGCGCGGGCGCCTTCCCATCCGCCCCTGTCGGGCAATACCCCGCAACGGAACACCTGCGCCTCCGACTTATCGTAGCACGCGCGGCACGTGACCAGGCGACGCCCCTCGCCCGTCTCCAAATAACGCCTTCTCTGGCTGTCGGACAAATGACACACGTCTGTAAACGCAGGCGCCTTCCCATCCGCCCCCGTCGGGCATGCTCCGCAGCGGAACGCCCGCGCCTCCGACTGCTGCTGCGCGCGCGCCGCGGCGCACGCCCCGCGCGCCACAGGCCAATGTTGCACGCCCGTTTTGTGGTACTTGTCGATCTGGTCCGGCGCCAGATGCTTCGCGTCTTTGAACTCTGGACCCTTGCCGTCTGCTCCTGCCGGGCACACGGAACATCTCAATGGCTTCTCCGCCCGCTGCGCTTTCCGACGTGCGTTCGCCGCTTCGACGGTCTCGTTCAGACCTCCGCCGTTTTCACGACCTCCGCGGTTTGCACTGGCGCACTTCTTGCAAAGCTTCTCCCCCGCACGTTTCGGGTCGCACTGGTTCGCCGCGACGCCCGCGTCCGCCTTCAAAAACTTCTTACATTTCGCGCAATGGATCTTAAACTCCCCCTGCACCTTTTCCCGCCATGCCCCCGACGCCCCCCGTGACTTCCGCGCGGCGGCGGGCCCCGCGCACCCGTCGCACTTGCTCGTTCTGATGTATACTCGCCCCCCGCGGGCCTCGATCTCCGGCGCCCGCGGCCCCAGCGCGGCCCACTTCTGGCATTCGGTGCGCCACTTCTCCCCTTCCTCCTTCAACGCATCCGCGCACTCGCGACAAAAACTCGGTCCTGTCTTCTCTTGAACTCTGCGGGAGTAAACTCCGATTTCTCCTTCAAGGTACTGCATCTACTGCACGCATTTCGGGGTATCAGCTTCGCTTCTACTTCCGCCCACGGCGCCTGCTCCCCTCGCAACTTGCTCGGCAGAAGCTTCGCCCCTTCCATTTCTCCTCGAGTGCACGGCGTCAGCTCAAACGGCCGATATATCAGCACCCCCCCCCCCCCCCCCTCTCCGAGTCTTCACGCGCGCGATTGCCACGTAACTCGACATCCAACTGACGTTTCGACCCTCCTGCAAATGTGCGACGACCGCACCCAGGCTTCGGCATTGCGCCGCGCGCGCTGTGCTCGCCAGACCCGGCGATATCAGAAATTGCTTTCGCCGAACCCCCAACGCCGGTTTCTTTCGGCGCGCGTCTAAGAACCACACCCGCTGCCTCGGGGCAATCGGGCACAAGCCAGGCCCTGGCATGCTCTTCAGCGCCCACGCGTCCGTATGAAGGTCGAGCACGATCTGCCTCGGCATCCTCCGCAGCGTTACTCCCGCCGCGCCCCCCCCGCCCTCCTCGCCCTCGTCTACGACCCCAAAGTGAATCGTTGCGCGGCAGCCCCTTAGCAGCTGCTTCTCGCCACGATCCAAATCATCAGTCAGGGCCGCGGGCATGCCCGCCGCAAGCGGCGGCCACCCTGGCATACCTGCGCACTCTACGTCATGGCATCCCAGCCACCGAAGCTTGTCAGCAGACGTGCACGGCCGCTTCTGCAGGGCCCCACGACGAGCAACGTCTCTGGCGCACACCCACGATATTTGCCCCCCCTCGCTCGCCGCCCAATCCACGGCACGCTGGCGCGCGACCTTGCACTTCACGTCCTGATTCGGGTAAATTGCCGTCGCCTTCACGAACTCCGGCAAGAAGAATCGTTCGTCATCGGGCCCCGTCGCAACCAACTGCCGTCTTCGGCGCTCTGCCTGACAAATCTCGCACTCTTTCGCATTGTCTCTTGCAGTGGCTTCTGCGTTCTTCGCGCAGTCCGCGGACCCGCACGTTGGCCCACACCCCACGCACGACCCGGGCACGCCCGTCGGTCGGCCGCGCAGAAAATGGCGCGTCCGTTCGCTGAGGGCCCCCCGTCGAAATTCGCCCTGGACGCTCAAGGACGACTCGTCGTGACCCTCTAGCCGCTTGCCTTCCACGCGCTCCGTCATTCCTGCAACAGATCCCTGTCCCGTTTCCCAGAATATACTGTGCCCATGGTCCCCCCCCGCGCCCGGCGCATGCTGCCTTGCCTTGCGAATCCACGACGTCGGGGTCGCGTTCGAAGGGGCGCCCCCCGGAGGCTCGAGCTGATAGAAACCCCCCTAAAACAAGACATTTACCCCTCCAAATGGCCTGCCCACTCCTTCGACGTCGACTTCCCCCTGGCGCGCCGCCGACATGACTGGCCGCAGGTGCGCGTCTAACTCCGGGAGGAAGATCGCACTCACCATGCTAATATCATCTATAATTAGCCACTTCCATTGCTATATCCGTTTCGCCGCCTCCACCTTTCTGGCCCCGCCTGTCTCGCCCTTCTTGGCATTCTCGCACCCGCTCGCAAACGGAGCCACCCCAAAAGCCGCACGCAACGCATGCCCATCCAGAGCTGACGCGCTCGCGGCCTGCAGCGCCGCCACCTGGAAGTCGAGCCCGCGCTTCCATTTCACGATTCCTTCGAACACGTGCTTCCGCAAAGCGTCCACCACATAGCTCTTCCCTGTTCCTGGACCCCCATGCAACATCCACAGTAAAGGTTGATCCGTTACCCTCGCTGCGTCGTCCTCTGCGCACTGTTCTATGATTATGTTCACGACTCTCTCAACGACTTCCTGCTGCTCCTCGTTCAGCCCCAGTGGACGTTTCGCTTCAGGCCCGCTGAGATTCGCCCCCCATTCTCGCAGTTCCCGCGCGGACCCGGCCCACTCGGAGACGATGCGCCCGTCCTCGTCTTCATACGCCGCTAGGGGGCCCCATCTCTCTCCTTCGCTTGCGACGCCCATCGCCTCGCCTTCCCTCCGTTTCACTTCCGCGTCCGTCACTTCTTCGCGTCCATTCGTTCGCGCCCACCCGCCCGCTGGCGCGTTCTCACCGCCGCCTGGGCGCCGCCTCCACACGCGCACCGACAACGCCATGGCTTCCGCACTCTGTCGACTAGCAACCGCCAGT